TCACACAACTAATACCTAGCAGAACATACACGAAAAATACCGTGGCCCGCACAGCGCAGTGGTAGCGCTCGAGACTCATACACCTGAGGACCACAGGTTCGAATCCCACTGCGGCCAACACTTTTTTCCGTCACCAAAAATTCTACTATATATCGTGGACAACGCTCCTCCAACACACCAGCCGCCACACTTTGTAATTTCTGCCAAATATTATATATGAAAATATTTAAATAATATAAAAAATATATATATATAATGCAGTATGATATACATATACACACAGCATTATATAAATATTTATTTTGTAATCTTCCTCTTCTAAGATAATTTTTGACAATTCCTCGTAAAAACGTAAAAGAGATTTCCCTGGAAATCCTGGGATTTGATTGAAGTTAAAAAACCTGACATTTTTAATTAGAATATATCCTATATATTATTTTCCTTTTTTTAGAAGGATGCACGACATACATCTACACTTAGAAAGAACTAAATTACATGAGTTACAGACGAATTTCCGATATAAATCGTTCTAGATGTCCTCAAGATCGATATACAGATAGATCATATGTAACTCATGGTATTGCCTCATGGTTTTGGTTTTTGTAAATAGTCGAAATGTGGATTGTGTGTTGTTTTCGGACCGTACAGATCAAACGTGTTTTGTTCTTAGTTCGTTTTTAATTGTTGTTCTTAATTTTTATATTGTATCGTCGCGCATTTCTGCCTTTATTTTCCAATTCTTAGTTTTACCAATTTTCGATTTGTAGTCTTCAAAACACATCGCGTTTTGCCGTGAACTTTTTGTTGGCTATTTTAAGATCATTTTAATAGAAAATAGAATAATAGTAAAAATTTCAATATGATGAAGAGTGATCAATCTCAATCAGTTACAAGTAATTTTATGAAATATTCTGTAGTACGATGTACAAATGAAGAAATTTATGCATATTTATATACGTATATACCATAAATTCACAAGAAAATTGGCTAATTACAGTTAATTATTCTTTTTACCATTAAAGAAAATTCAACTGCGATTGATCAGTTTTCACAAATTTACAATTATGATTAAAAATTTGTTAACATGCAAACTCAGTAGACTATTGCATTTAAAAAAATGACTACGTTCAGCAGAAAAAGCAACTTTGCAACTATTATAAAAATCTTTGATTAGTTTTTGCCCAATTTCTCATAGATCTAAATATATAAACCAATCATATTAAAGAATTTTACAACAATTGCAAAGCTGTTTTTTCTGCTGAAAGTCAGTCAATTTTAGGCTGTGTTTCAATAATCCTTGCCAGTACTAAAAATCTATGATATATGTGACATGAATTATATATTTTTAATACTGTCAGTGAGTATCGGAACGCAACCATAGTCGTAATCGTAAAATGTAAGCAAATTGACCAATCGAGTCGATTATTTTTGGACTATAAAGAGAATAAGCAAATCCTGATTGATCAATTTACTTATATCAACTTCTAATTATAATTAAAATTTTTTCACATGCAATGTTTTTAAGACAAATATCTATTAGGCATAAAACACTAAAACAATTCAAATCATGTCATATATACTAACTATATTTGTATATTACATATATTATTTTCTTTATAGAAACAGTGCAATATAAATACAATTGCTGTGTAAAGAATTGTAGACGTACAAAGTCTGGTCCAAAAAGAACATATTTCAGTTTTCCAAAAGATGATGTTCTCCGAAAACAATGGCTTAATGCTTGCCAAAGAGATGAAACAAATATGAACTTTGATATAGGTAAATTGAAGTAATTTGTTTATTCTATTATATATTCTAGTTTATATTGAGTAATAGCAGAGTTGGATAAGTTAATATTATTTTTTAACTATCGCTGACCCTATTGGAATCATGATGTCACAAGTGAGAAATGACTTGAAATAGCTTTAACATACTTGTGAAAATTCGACTACTATCTTTTTCCTTCTTGATAGTCAATAAATAGCCATAAAAGGTATGTGAAGTCTATCAAACAGAGAAACAGAGTTTGATCAGTTGAAAGAAATGCTATATGAACAAAAAATTAACTCAGGTAAAAGTTGTGTTAAAATTAAATTGACTTAAACTAAGTTAAATTAAAAGCTAATTTTAAAAAGTATTATTTATATTAGAATATATTCTATAAATTAGAATGTTATAATTTTTTCTAAAATTAAAATGTTCTAAATAACAAAACAATTACAATATGGATCATCAAATAAATTTAACATTTTATTTATAAATAAATTAAGTTTATATGAAATAACAAACTTTTTTAACATGAAAATGTTTTTTTATAATTGTTTCTTCTATGTTGGTACATTTTTAACTTAAAAAAACTTAATTAGTTGAAGTTAATAAGTTGAAATTTATGTATTTTAAAAATAATTAGATGAAGTTAATAAATTAATTTATTTAAAATTAACTGAGTCAAGTTAAAAGTTATACTTTTAATTTTTTAAATAGTTACTATCCAATTCCGAGTAATAGTAATAGTACTATCCAATTTCCAGTAATAATAATATTATATTAATATTATAATTTTCAATTCATCAATATCATTGTTATATGTATTATATTGCACTTACATTGTTGAGTAGAAAATTATGTTGATATAACATTATTATTACTCATTACAGTATTAATTTTTTTTCTTATATTAATATTGATTCTATATATTAACTATATATATAAATAATGTACCTTGAAATACTTATAGCAAGAGTATGTAGTCTTCATTTTGAGGAAGATTGTTTACTACTGGAAAAGATGATAGAAGGAAAAATTGGACGACCTAAAGAAACTGTATTGTTAAAAGAAAATTCTATTCCAACTAAAATGTTAATATTAGAAAGAAAACGAAGAGGAAAAAAGCCACTGAGTAAAGAAGCTAGAATAATTAGAGAAAAGTAGATATTTTTAAAATTTTTATATATGTTATTATCTTTACATGTACATGTGCAAATGAAAATAATTCTATATTTTTTTCAGAAGAAAATATTCTTTAGCAACATATGAAGAACTTGTACAATATGCACAAGGAAAACAAAGTTTGTCTCTTGAAGAATATGAAAAAAATATAGAAATAAATGCTATCAACGTGAAAAAATCTGCATATATGGAAAGAGATGTAGAACAAATAGAACAAAATATAGATCAAAATATAGAACAAAATATAGTGCAAAATATACAGCAATATTTAGTACAAAATATAGATCAAAATCCAGTACAAAATATAGTGCAAAATATACAGCAAAATCTAGTACAAAATATAGATCAAAATCTAATACAAAATATAGATGAAAATATAATGCAAAATATAGAGCAAAATATAGTGCAAAATATACAGCAAAATATAATACAAAATATAGAGCAAAATGTAGAACAACATACAGAGCAAAGTGAAGAAAAAAATGAAGTGTTAGAACAAGATATGTATGTAACTAAATATTTTTATAATTATTACTTAGTACCATAGTAGTTTTTTCTTATTATGTTTTATTTGTTCATATATATGCTTGGTACAAAAAGTATTATTATGTTTTACAGAGTACAAGATATTGAGAGTCTTCCATATATGTACATACCCGTATTCCTGTGTGCTTATGTACCTGTATATCCACATGCTTATGCATTTGCATCTGAATCTATATATCCGAACTAATTATATCGTTGTGATATACGTAACATCAAATAATCTCAAATTAGACTAAATTGAAAATTAGAATTAATATTTTTTATCATTCCAAAAATAATATTTAAATAGATATTGCAAAATTACGCTTTATTATACATCTTATAAACAATTCTCTACAAATATTTTTTTATACAGATCAATATTATCCACTATATTATAGTTTCACACATTTATATTGAACCTAGCCAGTAATAATTGGATTCTGAATGCCAAAATATTCATCGACAAAATAAATGCCTAAAGTGGTACATTTTTTTAAAAATAGGTTTTATATTTTTATAGATATAAATGATCTTAGCCTCTTCCTTTTATAAACTTTATATATAAAAACAAATTTTCTGTCTTGATTCAATTTTCTTATTAATTTATATTTTATTTTAAACATTTCCGACGAGACTTTTCTTATAACATAAGAGTGAATATAACGGGAGAGATAACGGGAAAGATTTTCCGTATAAGCGATTTGTGATTTTTCTATTTGTATATTTCTATTTGTATATTATTTTGTATATTTCCTTATATATTTTTAGCAAGTTGAATAATATTGATGTTGTTTTATTGATATTATATATTATACATGTATTATATATTGATTATGAGAATTCAATATATAATACATGTAAATAATACATATACAAATAATACAATATATATAATGTATTATATATACATATGTATATATGATTTATGTAACAAAGAAAATTTACATAAAAAATAAAAATACATATTTTCTGAAAAAATGTATTTATAATTATTTATAATTATTTTATATATTATAAAATTTTGTTCTAAACTTATTTTTATATGTATCAATTACACAGTTTTCATACTTTGAAGGATATTCATAATCCATGATATTTAAGGTCATATGATTATTTAAAGGCAATGTACAAGTTTAATTACTATAACATCTTATAATAAATCTAAGACGCTCTTACGATTGTAGTTTGCAACAGTAATAATAATAATTTTTTTAATACTTTTTCATAAATAATATTCTTTTATTTTTTACTAGTAATCATTTAATTTTCTTTTACTATTTATTGTTAATGTTATTTGTTATCATTTCTTATTTGTTATCATTTTATTTTATATTATATATTTTTTAATTTATGAGTTCAATAATAATAATTTTGTCAATCATATTTACAAATTTTAATGTTGTTTTTACTTTTATCATATCTCTGATAATTATATTTCAATCTCATGTTCTTGACAAAAATTTGATTGGGTGGTTTAAGATTTGGTTATTATTATGCGCTATACATTATATCATATTTATATCGGCCGGTGCTCAGGAATTTTTGAATGAATCACCAATTAGAAAATTTTATATTTAAGTGACCAATTAGTGACATAGGCAACCCCGTTCGTATAGAATAGCATTTAATAATCTAATTACAATTAAGAAATTTTTACTCTTTTTGTCCTAATTAGTCATGCAATATTTGTGGTAATTTATTACACAAACTATTTACAATGCACGCGAGTTATTACTAAAAATTGTTTATTAATAAAAATAAATCACTTAATTTTATTAGTTATTTATAAATATGTATTATTTATACAAGTATTATTAAATTCATTCTTGTCAAGAAACTGTAAATATTAAAAAATAACGGATATCTAAATATTTGAGGAATTTTAATTTTTCAAAATGGAGTATATCATTAAAAGTGACTTTAACTATCATTTAATTATCATTATTCAATGCCAATATTCATGAAAAAGTGTTTCTATTGATTGCCTGCGCAAAAATTCAAATTTCCTCCCTTAGTAACAATTGTAGCAAAATTGGATCGATCGACAGTTGGCGGTACTGATCAGTAAATTGAATCGTACTTCGAAATCTCTTACGCTCGAACGGTGCAGATTTCCTTTTTTTATCCGTTTTTACTCGATTCGATTTGAACCAACGCATTGATCCTTAGACATGTCCTTCATATATAGGCAGGAAATAAGATCGCTGCAGGACGGCATGCCGAACACTTTCGTGATCGGCGTGATTATAAATAGCACGAACATAAAAACGTTCGATACGACTCGGACTAAATGTACGTATCTATCTATTGTTTCTTCTTCATTTTTATTTCGTTCTCATATTTGGAACGATCGGCCGATAGGGGAGGCCGCAATAAAAGAACTTTTATCAAAAACCTTCGGTCGATTTGCATATATATCTTTTCTTATAGAGAAACCTTTCGAATTAGATGCAACGAAATGCGTTTCGCCATTTTGTCGCTTTCAAAGTACATCTCATTAAATTCGCATCGAAAGAAAGATCTAATAAATAACTCGGATGAATTATCTCTATATAAAATCTTTTTATCTTCAATCATCGGATTTTATATGAAATAAGAAAAGGAAAAGTCTTTTTCGTCTCCTCTTTCTTATTCTTTTATTATGTATTGCAGTCAGCAATGGCGAACGTAGTGTATGGTCGTTCACTTTGCGCGATACCGAGGAGGACTTTATTAACGTCACCGTCTGGGGCAGTACAGAATTTATAAAAAAATTATCGTCCACGTTTAATATTGGCTCCGTAGGTACGTAAATGTTTTAAAAATAAATTATCGTTAAAATTCTCAAATGTTAATATAGCATTTTGCAACAAATATTACCTAACAATTAATTATCGTTGATCGACGGAAAATTAATATATATTTAATTTTATATATAATTCAGTATATATTTAATACATTCATCACAATTAGTTAATATAATAGTTAATTATTTCTTAAAAAATTAAAATAGATTGATACATAATTTTCTTCGTTTAATATATCGAGTCCTGATAACAGTGTCTGTTTTACAGTGGAAGTGATAAGCGCAAAAATTGTGAGACGCCAACCCAATGATAGAAATGAACAATTTATGCCATCGACTTCCAGCCCTTTCGCTCTGATTGTAAATGAAGGTGCGGCTCTTATACAAAAACACGATGCGCCAACTCATGAACAGTATAAGAATTTGTTGACGCGACCTGTGAAAAGTGTGACTTCCGCGAAAAGCCTAAAAGTGATTCTGGACAACATAGAAGCTCTGTGTGATCGCTTTGTTGATCTTCTTGTTGTTGTTACATTTGTAAGTAATGAATAAATACATCAATCACGCCACTTCTTTTGCTGCTACTAAAAATGAATAATTTATTTAATTAGAAATTAGAGAAATTACAACAATTTATAATTATATATAAAATATAAAAATTTGTCATTTTGTTAGCATGAAAATTTGGCTTCGATAAAACTGTTATTTCTTCTCGAAAATATTAATTTTAATTAAACATACTACAGATCGGTGACACCCGTAATTTAATTACACGAGACGGACGAGCATTGACGTGTCGCAATTTCGAAATCGCAGATGGATCGACGGATAATACAGTGTCGTTGATGTTGTGGAATAAAGATTGGATCGAGAGATCTGCGTTTTGGGAACCGAAGAAAACAATATTATTCTTGATCGACGCTCGCATCGCATACGATGAGTATAAGAAGAAAACTGTGTTAAGCATCTGTATGTCAAAATTCTGATTTTTATTGTTATATTTATTTAATTATTATCGATACTTGTTATTTAATTATTATTACATTTGCAATATTTTTTTTACTATATGCAGCAAGACGAACGTTGATCACGGAATGTGTGGATGTACCTCAAGCTTTAGATATCATGAATGCAGTGCAACATTATGATCTTGACTCTATATGCAGTGATTCGTTCGCTGTACCAAATCGTAAGAACTGTGAATAAGCATTTTATATTGATTATATTATCCTTTATATTATGTATGTTAAATATCTTTCAATTATTTACATTATATCTACAAAGAATATTTCGTACAATAAACGTAATAAAGAGAGGCGAAAGAGAAAAATAGAAATTTTTTTTCAAAGAAATACAATTTAAGATTCTGTTATCTTTTTTGTATGTAAAACATTATTATTCATTTCTAGCGGATACTATCACGACTATAATGACGGTACAACAAATCACGGAGAAATTACACAAAAAAGCAACTGCAGACGGTGAAAGATTGCAATTTGCGGCGATCGTGAAAGCATCGGTAACTGAGATAAATCTGGATGGACCACTCAAAGACATAATATCTATAAAATGGTAATTTCTTTTCAGTCATATTTCATACATTCAATTGATAAAAAAATTGATGAAAAATTGATGATGTACTTGTCATTTCTTATATTTACTTTTATTTTTAGTGCTCTTTGTAAAAAGATCATTGCAGATGTGCAAGATTCTTGTATGAACTTAAATTGTCCGTCGGGCAATGGGATCCGGACACCATTAAATGTCATAAAGTTTAACATAAAAATCAATTTAAAGGACGATACTGGGTATCTCATCGGATGTCGTTTAATCGGCGACAACGCGGAACGAATTTTAGGTTGCACAGTTGAAGAATTTCAAGTACTACATTTTTAAATTTATTTTATATGCATAAATTTTATTAAACAGTTTTGGTTTTAAAATCAATTTTATATAAGGCATAAAAGATATGATTATTGCAGGCAATGACGGTAGAAAAGCGCAGTGAAATGAAGTGGCAGTATCTATTAGAAAAATGCGATGTTCGCCTGCATATTCTCGGGCCGACGTCTATCTTCCCGCGTGCCTTATACAACGTCTTATCTATTCAATTGTGTGTAGATAAAGAAATAGAACAAGCTCTCGAGCTTGTAACCACATCCGAATATTAAGTATTAAACGCAGATCTCTGATTTGAATACATAATTTTTCATAATAATAATTATTAAAATGTAAACTTTTCATTTCTAAGCGCACACAAATAAATTATAAATTATAAAAATATATTGTCATAAACATGATTTTTTTTAATATAGTTGTAACATAATTGTATTCATTGATATTGCACAAATAATAAATATGCAGATACACACAAATGTATAATTAACATAAAATAAAATAATATAAAATTATTTTTTAAAAATTACAATTTTTCTGAAAATAAGATAGAGTGGTTTATTAGTAATTTAAAATAAAAAAATATTATAAAATTTCAAGAAAATATCAAAATTTCGGCGAGTTAAAATAGTGCGAGTTAAAATCTGATTTTTGCTGTTTACAACTTTAATTTTGCAAAAATTATTTAAAAAAGATTTGTAAAATTTTACGTTAACATAAAAATTCTCTTAAATTATTTTCTTTAGTTATTTCCATTTTTAACGAAAGTACAAAAAGTGTATGAAAGTGCAATAAAATAGCACGCAAAGCAGATTTACAGGTTTTTAGGAACGCTTACTACGTCATAATATTTGAATGTAGTTCGGTTGGAAGAGTGTGAAAGACTCACCGTGTACATACGTATATTGGCGTTATTTCCGAGTCATCCGTGTTTTCAGTTTTTTTCCATTCTCTCGAAAACTTCGATAAATGAGCAAGGTGTGAAGAACCAAGGGCATTTCAGTGTGAACTCATTGTATGATTGTTTTACACGCATTTCTCACAAGATACATCCGATGCCTTCTCACAGTAAACGTACATTACAAATTCTGCAGAGAACTTTCGAAGAGCTGCAGCGTTATTATACTCTGTTACAGCTTATTAGGGCCGAACTCGAAAAAATAGCAGGAAATTTCGCTGCCATAAACGGTGGGTACTGCCGAATGAGCTTAAATAAATTAATATAATTGTCTTAACCTGCGATAATAAATAAACAAGAACGAAACAAGAGTTTTAGTGTGAATAAAATAATTTTATATATCTCAAAGTTTTATAATAAAATAATTATTTTTTTAAAGAATCCTATATCTTTTATATTTATCTAGTAATAAAGTGATTTTTCAAGGTTCTGATAATGGAATGTCTTCTTAGATCAATCAGACTTCAAAGATTCTCTGATTTGATCTGAGATCTGTAGAAAATATACAAATAGCTGTAATTTTTCTAAAATTGTATTACTGTTACAGTTCTTTTTTCCTAATAAACAAATTTAATAGTAAATTTACTAACATTTACCTATGTACTGCTCTGAGATAAATTTGTTAATTACTAAATTTTTCTATAAAAATGTTATGTGTTAAAAATTTTTTCTTGAAGACATTTTTGAGACATTTTTTAGATGTACATATTATTTAAAATATTAAACACAATTATATAGGTAATTACTTTTCTCATATTTGTTATTAAAAATTTATAATGCTAATCAAAATAATTTTTATTTGTTTCAGAAGCATAAGGATAAGGATCAATATAGATTATAGCAATTTATATTTATATAAAAACAAAAAGAGGTAAAGATTTTTTATGATAAAATGGATTCTCGTAAGTCTTTAATGCACAAAAGATTGGAGGCTATACAAAATTCATCAACTTCTTCGACATCTTCAACGTTATTGCGACGAAAATCCATTGCCAAAACACCAGAAAGTACTCTTTCAGAAAATGATGATGAGGCGGAACGTCTTGCTCGTCGACGCGAGATTTCTGCAACGACGCCATTGTTGGTATCTTCTAATAATAAAAGGCATTCTCTAGGTCTAGGATTTTTAGCGAATATTTCAGAGCCGCAAATGGCCGAGAGCATAAATCAGTGTATAAAACTGAGTACTGAGAATAAGATTAATGCCAAGAACGCGTTTGCTCTCGGAATGATCGACTTTATGACATATATGATAAAGAAACAGGATGTCAATATGTCGAATCTACAGGTAGCTAGCACATCCTTGGATGTCAGTACCAAAATCTATGGATTTCGTGTAGATAGTGTGCATATGGAGATACTCAAAATGGTTGGTGGACTGGATAAACATGTGGATGATGCGGAACAAAATTTGGACGAGCAAAGAGAAGCTACCACAGAAGATATGGAAGCAAACATCGAGATGCAGAAAAAGAAAAAAAGAAGAAAGCAAAACAGAAGATTTTCAGCACTATGGAAGCTCTGAGAGGCAATATCGAAATTGCAAAACCCTTGTCGATGATGATAGGCGAGGGAGATCTGCAGACCAGTGACATGCTGTACCAGGCGTGTCTGCCGAATCACGCGAATTCCGGCTTCTATCAACATCCATACAATGACGTGCTCGTCGATGTCTTAGAAGACACATCTGAGTCACAAAGTAATTCGAATGTGAAATACACCATACCGACAATCGAGGACTTCTCGAATCTGGAGATCTGCGCGTCGTACTCGAACTTCGAGTTTCTCGGTTGGTCTGTGGATAACGAGCCGGAAGAGATGTCGGATGAGGGAGCCGAGTCCAATGATGATGACAATCGATTCCAATTTGATTTGGATGCCAGTATGGAGCAGGATAACGAACCGGCACCCGAGCCCATGAATTTCTTTGATATCGAAGGCGACGATAACAATGAGAACAATATTCAGAGATGCTACCGAGAAAAAACGAGTAATCCAAATGGGAATATTGTGGATGCGCTTGACGTTCGGCCATCAGCCACATCTGAATACTCTTTCGTTCAGTCGAGCATAAACTTGCATTGGGCTGGGCCATCTCATTGGAAATTTCGAAATCTTGCAAGACCTTTCACCGATACTGCCGCTGGTAGTATCAAGGAGACTGCGGCAGGTTACACGCAAGCCAAACTGTCAAAGAGAAAACAGTTCGAGTTGTCATACGACGACAAACACAATGTAGATGAAAAGTTTGCATCGAGTCATTCTAATAAGTTACAAGCCAAGACCGCGAAAACAGAATGGAGCACCGAGAATGTGACATTACCGGAAGATGTACATTATGATGTGATGCAGCTGTGTAAACTATATGTGTACCAGAAAATGATTATAAAGCCATCAAAAAATGGGAATAACGAAAATGAAGTAATCACTGCGGATATGTCTGATGCCGAGAGATATGACTATGATAATCCAAATGATACGCTAGAATATTGTCCTAATGTTGAACACGATGGTGATTACGATGATTACGGAGGTAAAGATGATGGTACCGAGAATTATAGCTGCGAAGATGATAATGCTATTGTCACGGGTAGCCAGGGTCTCATCGGCGACAATCTAGTAGCCGCGCCCAAGCTAGTTAACAAAATAGCCATCCCATATTGCTTGAAGGCGAAAAGGATCGACATGCGACAGTTGAAGAAATCTATATGGAGTTGCCTCACCGAATCCACAAATAATAATAATAACACGGACGTCGTGAATATCGAAGAAACGGCAAATGAAGCTGATAAGATGAAGGACAATAAACGATTCAGCGACATTTATAAAAAATTACCGAAATTGTTGACGAAAAACAATGCCGAGGCGTTGAGCGTACCAATTTCCTTTATATCTATGCTACATTTGGCGAATGAGAAAGAACTAAAGATTAATTCGCTACCGGACCTGTCTGACATTATCATCGAATCTGGAGATTCACCTAAGTGACCTGAGAAATAAGATTGATTTGTGACTACTAATCTCTGTGTATATGTAATGTTCCGAATTTAATATTTTTCATGGCAAATTATACATTAAATTTTCTTATATGTAAAATTGCCTATATAATTTCTCATGAAAAATACTCGGACTAACATCACGTATCATACATAGATATAAAAGTACAAAATCAGGAAAGTCTCTCAAAATCACATCGGAACAGAATAGACATTTTTTTTATTTAGAAAACGAATAAAAATCGCATTACATATTTATTTATTTCTTACGGTGTATTATATATAGACATAATTTTAACTATTCGGGCCGCGCGCGTACGCGAAAATAGATTTACGTTGCGAATTATTGTTGCGAATGTTAATCAACAAACAGGCATGAATTTGTACAAAAATGCGACGATAATTGTATTAAATATTAAATTTAATTAAAGAGTATCATTTTAATTTGATATCTCTATATATGATATTAATAACAATGATATAAATAACAATAGACATTTGTACAAATCTAGTGTTTTTACTATAGCGTTCTTACTATAGTTGTCAAATTTATATTATTTGTCAATTTATCAAATAGCAAATTACAATTAGCATTACAATTTTTATATAAAACATGAAAAATAGTTATTGAAAGTTGTTGCGAGAGTGTTTATAATATTTTTGTATTTAACTCGATATTTTGTTCGGCATAAGTATATACGAGTATATTTTTGTCATAAAGAATAAAATATCTTTTTATATTAATACGAAGAATATTTGATGCTTGGCTTTAAATTTATTCATCTCTTCATGTACGAGCTTCACGTGTGTTCTACATATCGCGGATCACTTGTTTGCCTCTGTCGAGTTGATTTCCCTCTTTCCGATCCATTTTACAAAATCGTGAAGTGTTATGAATCAAACTTCTTTTCTACATTTGAGAAAAAAAATAGGCAACGTCAAAATCATGCAGTCATGACTGCGTTATCGAAATATCTTTATTTGTCAGTGCGGCAATGCGGACGTTGTCTCATTTTTTCGCGTCGCGGATTCTCGCAAATTCCTCCGACAGACGACCGAAAGGTTCAAAAAGTTCAGGAGAAAAATGGAAACAAGAATGTACAGAGAGACAACAAGTCTAACATAAAAGTGTGCATCATCGGCGGCGGAGTGACACCGCTTTACACCGCAGTTCTTTTGAAGCAATATCAGATTATTAAGAATATACATCTGGTGGATACAATGGACTCCACGTCAGAAACTTTGACGGACGCATGCCGCCTGGAGACCAGTCCTCGTATAGATTATTTCCGGAGAAAAGATATAAAGGAAGCTCTCAGAGAAGTACGAACTCTTATTCTCCGTTTCAGAAATAATAAAATATTACATAGGAAAGCTCTTGCAGAGCTTTGTCGTAAAATCTTCGAGTGTTTAGACATTGAAATGAAGCGAAATTATTTGCGCGAGTAAATAGAGTATGAAAGGAAAAAGTACCCGGTTTGATTTAGTAATCTGAAAGAAATTTTAATTAATTATATAAAGTTATAATTTACAAAATGATATTTTTCTCATTCAAAATTAAGAACGAGGAAACATTCCAAGTTCTAAAATATCTAAAAAGGCAATTCATTAACGCAAAAAATTGAAAAAATTTATATGTTAACAAAACTGATAGAAACCCTCAAAAAAATGCTTAATACGTCCATGATGCATATGATAGATTCACGTTTGTTGATTACGTTTAACGACTGCACGTACGATTACATGAATATCGAAAAATATTTAGGTGAACATTGTCGCGCTCATGGACGAGACGGACGTGGCGAGCGATTTGGAGACCCGGACGCAATTCAAATCGATGACCGGCTACGTACGTCAGATGACGGATCGAATACTGCGCTTCTGTCCGGACGCCCTCGTGGCCGTGTTCGCGCGCCCCGTCACCGCCACGCTCCCGATGGTCTCGGAGATCTTCCGGAGCTCAGGCTGGTGGAATCCCGACCGGATCATCGGCTCCACCGCGATGTACAGCGAGCGAATCGAGGGGATCGCGGCAGCCATCCTCAACCTGGAGCGCTCGAGCCTCTCGGTGCCGCTGGCCGGCGGCGCCGACGCGCGAACCCTCGTGCCGTTGCTATCGCGCGCTATTCCGTTCAACCAGTTCACAAATGTACGAGTAAATACCGTATTCCTAGAATTATAATATGTCGTAAGAGTTTCTGCCCAATGGTCAATGTTGCTGTAATATAATTGCAAAATTTGTGTTAGATGATTCGTCCAATTCTTAAGTCACAATTGAAGATGTAATTGATCATTTCAAAAATCAAATTGACCAATTTTTTATTCTTTTATTTTTCAATCTTAACGCACGAAGCGCATTTACAACTTTAATAACTTTTCCTATTTCTTATTTAATAGGAATGATCTGTTTAATTTCTGAAAAAAATAAATTTAAATGCATTATATAAATTATAGAAATGTTAGGCAAAAAGTTCATCTTTTTTATTAATTTCGTCACAAAATCAAAATTCTTTGGAAAAAATAAATTGAAAAATTCCTCTTTAAAAAGAGAAAAAAAATATTGACGCTAATTTTATCTCGATTTATAAATAGTATTCCACGTATTCACTCGTAGAGATTAAAATTCTATTAAACTTCTAAAAATAAAGACGTAAATATTAAAAACTGAAATCTTTATGGCGTAGATAAGAAGCAAGCGTATCAAATTACTTTCGCATCATATCTCAACTGTGATGACCTTCTCGATTCTTAACGTAATTGGCATTCATTCATGCATTTAACGATATCTCGTTTATACAGCCGCGATTGTGCAACGTATCGCTTTAAGTGATAATTAAATTATAATTTACGATATAACATAATTAATTTACGAATTTACATAATATAAACATATAAACAACATGAAAAGAAACAACATGATGATCAATGTTATTAACATCATTAGGCGCAACGCAAGACTCTGCTGCAATCGTTTCGAGCCGGCGACGAGGCCGCGAAAATAGGAGCCCCGGACAAAGGTCCATCGTTATCGCCGGGAACAGCGGCTGCAAAGCTGATTATCACCCTCGCCGCTGGTCTATCCGGACTCGATCACGTTATCACATGCGCCTACGTGCGATCGGACGTACTGCCGGTTTGCCGATTTTTCACTAGCGAGCTGCAGTTGGGTCCGGAGGGAGTCAAGCGAAATCTGGGTCTACCGAAAATCTCGCCCGCGGAAGTGCTCCTTATCGAGCAGACAATACCCCTTATCAACGAGTATGTCGACATGGCGGTCACGGCGGTACGGACCGAGAAGACAAATCGTACAAAGACGAACGTTATTTCCTGATAATCCGGGAAATATCGGGCGGAATGAGAACTCTTTAAAAGCTGTATAAACATTCGGATGTTTCGGTTTTAGTCGATACTGAAATATATTTGTAAATATGTTGCAAATGACGACAATTCTATTTCCTCGCGATGTATTCGTTTCTTTTACCCATCCAGGGGTGTCCTTAGAACGTAGGATATTCTTCAAACGTCCTAAGATTTCTCGTGTCCTAAAGATAGGATGTGGATATTAATACAACCTTTGGTGTAATGATTTTTGTGAATAAATAATTTGGTGTAATAATTTTTGTGAATAAATAACTTATCAAAATGAATTTATTATGAATTTACAAAACAAACAAAATATTACCGATCAAACAGACAAAAAAATAGATAAATCGTTGATATGATAATTGCAAAAAAATAAGTCGAGTCAAAACTTCACTTCGAGTTTGCATCTTCAGGAAAATAATTAAAGCCGATCTTTCTAAGAAAATTTTATCTTTGAGATTAAACATATAATTTTCTGTTTTTCCGTTTCTCATCCCAGTGATCCTCATCGCTTTTTATACTTCTGGGAGTCGATCGTGTAACTTTTCTCCTAGGGCGGAAACGTGAAAAGTGAAATTTTTCACGTGAACTTTTCTGCCATGTATCTTAGTGGCGGAAAGGTGGAAATCTAGGGAATTAATAAATATGCTTCGGAATTAGAGAAGATTAGGGCTGCGTTAGGATTAAGTGTACGTAATACACTTACCAGGTGTATGCATAAGTTTTTTCCGGTTTAACTAAGAGATGTCGCCAGCGAAAAGTACGCAGCGTATCAATTTGACACATACATCATTTTGTTCGTCTGACATTTAAAACTACAAACACACACAAGTTGAGTCCGCCAAAAACTAGCGTCTTTGTTTTATCGTTCAGTGATCATGTCGAGTTTTGTGCCTGAAAAAGAACATTTGCGGCACGCATTGCTTTTTTTATTTAATCAAAAGAAAAAGGCTGTTGAAAGTCATCGTTTGCTGGTAGAAACATATGGTGAACACGCTCCATCGATTAGAACATGTGAGACATGGTTTCGACAATTTAAAAGTGGTGATTTCAATGTGAAAGACAGTGAGCGCTCTGGTAGACCACAAAAATGCGAAGACGAGCAATTGCAGAAGTTATTGGATGATGACCCAACTCAAACTCAACGGCAATTAGCAGAAGCATTACATGTATCACAAGAAACAATCAGCAGACGTTTACGAGCAATGGGAAAGATCAATAAACTCGGTAAATGGGTAAATGGGCCATAAATGGCCCACACGATTTGAATGAACGTCAAATGGAAAATCGCAAAGTCACTTGTGAAATGCTGCTTCAACGAAAGGAAATCATTTTTGTATCGAATTGTGACGGATGACGAAAAATGGATTTATTTTGAAAACCCGAAGCGGAAAAAATCGTGGCTTTCACCTGGCGAAGCCGGTCCATCAACACCAAGGCCAAATCGCTTCGGCAAGAAGACCATGCTCTGTGTCTGGTGGGACCAGAGCGGTATTGTGTATTATGAACTCTTGAAGCCCGGCGAAACCGTTAATACACAATGCTATCGCCAACAAATGATTAATTTAAACCACGCATTAATCGAAAGACGAATGGGCCAGAAGACATGGCAAAGTGATTTTGTTACACGACAATGCGCCGTCTCACACAGCAAAACCAGTGAAAGACACCTTGAAATCGCTTGGATGGGACATTCTTCCACACCCGCCGTACTCCCCAGACCTGGCGCCATCTGACTATCACCTCTTCGCATCAATGGGACACGCGCTCGCAGAGCAGCACTTCAGCAATTTCGAGGAAGTTGGAAAATGGCTCGACGAATGTGCTTTGCCGCAAAAGACAAGCAGTTTTTCGG